CTAATTATTGGAACACAAAATTAGTTTTGTACGCTCATTGACCTTTGACCTACATATACATATAAATTCCAATAAGCAGAAAGGGTATTCTTCTCTTTGCATCTTCTCTCAAACACCTTAAAAACAACTCTAAATGGCCTGAAAACAAAGATTGTTCACCATCATGCTCATGGGGAAGGATATAAAAAGCTGTCTCTGTGATTTCAGCTGTCTGTTCTACGGTTAGGAACATAGTGAGGACATTGAAGACCACGGGCACACAGTTCTAGTTGAGGTCTGAAGTGGCAGGCCAAGAAAAATCTCAGATAAGTGGTAAAAACTGGTGAGAACAGTCATAATCAACCCACAGACCAGCACCAAAGACCTACAACATAATCTTGCTGCAGATGGAGTCACTGTGCATCGTTAAACTATTCTGCACATTTGGCACAAGAAGATGCTGTATGGGAGAGTGATGCAGAAGGAGCTTTTTCTGCGCACATATAGATCAGCAGTCGTAGCGTGGGACATGTCGGCCACTGGGAAATGTCCCGCAGCTCCTGATGTTCACCGCTGCTGGTGTGCTGCAAAAGCTGCTTTGCTAGAGATCTAGGGTTATGTCATGCAGATGTTCTATGCTCCAGTACACCTGTTTTGCATCACTGGGTGATTAACAGGCTACAGAGCTCGAAGACATGATGAGTAAAAATTTCAACCATTGAATCAAGTGTGTTGGAGCACAGAAACGACTAAAATATGCGGGATAGGGGCCCGTCCCACTGCTCTACCCCTTCTTTCCACCAGACATGAAATAGTTTTACACGCAACATCCCGATTCAGACGTGAAATGGGAGCAGAGCGTAAGCATTCCTCACCGCTGGTCCCGCAAAGTCACAGCGGCTATGGGAGTATTAACAGGGCATAGTGTACGTTTACCTTCTGGATGTTTTGCACTGCGTTTGTGTTTGACTTCCTGGCCCAATCTGAACTGCAGAGTTTGACATGTTTTGGAAGCATAGTGGATAAAAAAATAGCCCTAAAACAAAGTGATAGCATCCCTTTGCTTCTGGGGCGCGCCCAAAAAGGAACTCATCTACTATAACGGCAGCTAATTGCCGCCTGGTACATTTTGCGGCTGTTTAGCAACGCTTTCACGTCCGATGGAAAGAGGGGGTAAGAAGAAATGTACACTAATAGAAAAGTCATAGCCACATTTTCTGGCATGTGATCAAGTCTTCTTGACCACGTTTATTTTCAGTTTCTGTCTATTTCAATAGCTTATCAAATGATTTATCTTTTCATTTCCAAGAAAATAAAAGCTATTCGTTTTCACAGTGAATGACTAAGTTGGGTGGTTTTTTAAACTGTCATCAAAGGCAAGAACGTTTTCTATTACTTTAGTTACTCATTGTCGGTTTAAATTTTAGAAGGAGCAAGTGTTGTGAATAATGTGAAAGTATTTCCATTTGCATATAAACAGTATTTTGACATCGTCTTTAATAAAAGCCAAAAAGAAATCTTGATCTTATTTCATGTTTGCGGTAGCAGCAGCTTCTGGGGCAAACTCATGGTATCCTTGATCATACTTTGTCATTTGAACAAATTTATTTCTAAAGAGAAGATCAGGACTATGAATCCCAAAGATTATATCTGGCATTAACTTTGATGCTTATATTTAACGTTCATTATAAATGTTCTGACATTCAGGCAAATTTTTCAAACAATAGGCCCAACATCTCACCAATAATGTTTCTTGATTGCATTTTGCTAAAGTGATGTTCGTGATGTAAGTTCGAAGGATCTTTCATGGCGGTGAAAACGAAGAGTCGGAGTACCCGGCCCGGAGGGTTACCGGGGTCCCACCCTGGAGCCAGGCCTGGGGTTGGGGCCCGTGAGCGAGCGCCTGGTGGCCGGGCTTTCGCCCATGGGGCCCGGCCGGGCCCAGCCCGAACCGGATACATGGGCTCGTCCAACTGTGGACCCACCACCCGCAGGAGGAACATGAAGGGTCCGGTGCAATGTGAATCGGGTGGCAGACCAAGGCGGGAGCCTTGGCGGTCCAATCCCCGGACAAGAAAACTAGTTTTTGGGACATGGAACGTCACCTCGCTGGCGGGGAAGGAGCCGGAGCTTGTGGCAGAGGTTGAGCGGTACCGGCTAGATATAGTCGGACTCACCTCGACACATTGCATTGGCTCTGGAACCCGAGACCTGGAGAGGGGTTGGACACTCTCCTTTGCTGGAGTTGCTCCGGGTGAGAGGCGGAGGGCTGGGGTTGGCTTTTTGTTAGCCCCGAGACTCTCTGCCTGTGTGTTGGGGTTTACCCCGGGGGACAAGAGGGTAGCTTCCTTGCGCCTTCGGGTCGGGGAACGGGTCCTGACTGTTGTTTGTGCTTATGGGCCAAATATCAGTTCAGAGTACCCACCCTTTTTGGAGTCCCTGGGACGAGTGCTAGATAGTGCTCCATCAGGGGACTCCATTGTCCTGCTGGGGGACTTCAATGCTCACGTGGGCAATGACAGCTTGACCTGGAGGGGTGTGATTGGGAGGAACGGCCCACCTGATCAGAACTCGAGCGGTGTTTTGTTATTGGACTTCTGTGCAAGCCGCAGTTTGGCCATAACGAACACCATGTTCGAACATAAGGATGCCCACCGGTACACTTGGTACCAGGGCAGCCTAGGTCACAGGTCGATGATAGATTTTGTAGTCGTATCATCTGACCTGCGGCCGTATGTTTTGGACACCCGAGTGAAGAGAGGGGCGGAGCTGTCAACTGATCACCACCTGGTGGTGAGTTGGATCAGATGGCAAGGGAACATGCCGCGTAGACCTGGCAGACCCAAACGCATAGTGAGGGTCTGCTGGGAACGCCTGGCAGAAGAACCTGTCAAGACGGTCTTCAACTCCCACCTCCGGCAGAGCTTTGACCACGTCCCGAGAGCAGTGGGGGACATTGAGTCCGAGTGGGCCTTGTTCCACTCTGCGATTGTCGAGGCGGCTGTTGCTAGCTGTGGTCGTAAGGTGGCCGGTGCCAGTCGTGGTGGCAACCCCCGTACCCGCTGGTGGACACCAGAGGTTCGGGGAGCCGTCAGGCTGAAGAAGGAGGCCTACAGGGCGTGGCTGGTCTGTGGGTCTCCGGAGGCAGCAGACAGGTACCGGATAGCCAAGCGGGGTGCAGCAGTGGCAGTTGCCGAGGCAAAATCTCGGGCGTGGGAGGAGTTTGGTGAGGCCATGGAGAAAGACTATCGATCGGCTCCAAAGAGGTTCTGGCAAACTGTCCGGCGCCTCGGGAGAGGAAGGCAGCAACTCGCTCACACTGTTTACAGTGGGGATGGGGAGCTGCTGACGTCAACTGAGGCTATGGTCGGACGGTGGAAGGAATACTTTGAGGAGCTCCTCAATCCCACCAATGCGCATTCCGAGGAGGAACCAGAGCTGGGAGGCCTGGGGATGGACTGTCCGATCTCGGGGGCAGAAGTTGCTGAGGTAGTCAAACAACTACACAGCGGCGGAGCCCCGGGGGCGGATGAGGTTCGTCCTGGGTATCTCAAGGCTATGGATGTTGTAGGGCTGTCATGGTTGACACGTCTCTACAACATTGCGTGGTCATCGGGGGCAGTTCCTAGGGAGTGGCAGACCGGGGTGGTGGTCCCCATCTTTAAGAAGGGTGACCTGAGGGTGTGTTCCAACTATAGGGGGATCACACTCCTCAGCCTCCCTGGAAAGGTCTACGCCAAGGTACTGGAGAGGAGGGTCCGATCGATAGTTGAATCTCAGATAGAGGAGGAGCAATGTGGTTTTCGTCCTGGCCGTGGAACTGTGGACCAGCTCTATACCCTTGCAAGGGTGATGGAGGGGGCATGGGAGTTTGCCCAACCAATCCACATGTGCTTTGTGGATTTGGAGAAGGCTTATGACCGTGTCCCCAGGGGCACCCTGTGGGGGACGCTCCAGGAGTATGGGGTGGGTGGCTTTCTGTTAAGGGCCATTCAGTCCCTTTACCAGAGGAGCGTGAGTTTGGTCCGCATAGCCGGTAGTAAGTCGGACCTGTTCCCAGTGAGGGTTGGACTCCGCCAGGGCTGCCCTTTGTCACCGGTTCTGTTCATCACTTTTATGGACAGAATTTCTAGACGCAGCCGTGGTGTGGAGTGTGTCGAGTTTGGTGGCAGGAGAATCTCGTCTCTGCTTTTTGCGGATGATGTGGTCCTCCTAGCTTCATCCAGCTCTGACCTTCAGCTCTTGCTGGGTAGGTTCGCGGCCGAATGTGAAGCGGCTGGGATGAGGATCAGCACCTCCAAATCTGAGACCATGGTTCTCGACCGGAAAAGGGTGGCTTGCCACCTCCGGGTCGGGGGAGAGGTCCTACCTCAAGTGGAGGAGTTTAAGTATCTCGGGGTCTTGTTCACGAGTGAGGGTAGGAGGGATCGGGAGATCGACAGGCGGATTGGTTCGGCGTCTGCAGTGATGCGGACGCTGAGCCGATCTGTCGTGGGGAAGAGGGAGCTGAGCCAGAAAGCCAGGCTCTCGATTTACCGGTCGATCTACGTCCCAATCCTCACCTATGGTCATGAGCTTTGGGTAATGACCGAAAGAACGAGATCGCGGATACAAGCGGCCGAAATGAGTTTCCTCCGTAGGGTGGCCGGGCTCAGCCTTAGAGATAGGGTGAGGAGCTCGGACATTCGGGAGGGACTCGGAGTAGAACCGCTGCTCCTCCGGATCGAAAGGAGCCAGTTGAGGTGGTTTGGGCATCTGGTCAGGATGCCTCCTGGACGCCTCCCCGGGGAGGTGTTTCGGGCATGTCCTGCCGGCAGAAGGCCCCCGGGTCGACCCAGGACACGTTGGAGAAGTTACATCTCCAATCTGGTCCGGGAACGCCTTGGGGTCCTGCCGGAGGAGCTGGTGGATAAGGCCGGGGAGAGGACGGCCTGGAGCTCCCTAGTTGGGATGCTGCCCCCGCGACCCGGACCCGGATAAGCGGAGGAAGACGACGACGACGACGACGACGACGAGGACACTGCTGGCACATTTATCATTTGGAATAAATTTTCATTTCTGTCATATTTGCAGTTAAACATTGTTTACAAAACTTTCTTTTTATTCTCTTCGTTTTGCAAACAAGAAAATTGGAGCCAAGACATTTTTAAGGAAGTGAAATTATGCTGCATGTCTCTGTAAGACACTTTAGATTTGTGCATTTTGTAGCATTTCTGGCCCGTTGCATAATTTAATTAGCTTAATTAAATAACACTGAACAGGGCTTTTGTAAGACATGCAGCTTTCACAGTCATCAAGAAATATCAAACTGTTTTCTCACACTGAATGTGATTTTTTTGCATTCATCAGTGTGCTCATTGAAGATTTGTAAGAGAATGTGTTGTTCAAAAATTAGACAACAGTCACGGGACACACAGGACAGTTTGCAAAATGCATTTTTATGAGATCTAATTTTAGAAAAGTATTGCAGACGTGCCTCTTGTCTTTAGGTTTGGTGCCAGATAATGATGCAGTGAAAAGTTTAAAAATCTCCTCGTGTTGATTTCTTGCCATATTTGCCATCTGTTCAGTCTGACAAGGCAGCTGTTTTCTTCTGTCTTCATCGAGTCTTCAGTTTCCTCAGACATGTAGATTGATGGAGCAGCAGCTAATGGTGGGTGGTTGCCCACCCATAGTGGACACATCACACCTTTGAGTTTACGCCCATGAGACGGCAAACTGTCCCTTCCAGTCTGGCTCGAATAGTGTCACATGACACAGCCAGGTGTGTGTGCCAGCCTGGGGTCAGGGGTCATGCTAGTGGTAATGAACACAACTGGCTACCCTCCCCTTTGGAACAGTTTTGCTTCTTGATGCCTTTTGTAATTCATAGTTTCGCCTGGTCGGGCTCTGCTATGTCTCAGTCATTAACCATTCTTCCTGCTCTTTTTCATAATCCAAAGTCAATCATGCTTCTGCCATATACAGGATTATTGATGCTGTTATTTAATGACTGTCAGGATATCTGGCATTTATCAGTGATTTATAGTCGATGTGAGGAGCTCATACTGGGAAACATGCTTTATATTTACAGTTTGATTTGATTTCCCTCTTCCAGGGCTGTCATAAATTACTGAAATCTCGTGGAACGAGTCGCTGTGAAGCTTTATAAATCCCCCTCTGGGAGGAGGCACAAAGAGTTGGTGGAGGAGGCCGTGCTTTGAAAAAGGACGATCTGTATGCAAGTTCAGAGGGAGACGGCATCCTCGACTCGTGACACAACCTCACAGGAATTGCTCGAATGTTGCTGGCTTGCTGTGTGAGGCAGCTTACCCTGCTCTCCATTAGCCTCTGCCTCTTTGGAAAGGTTTGTCATGGATATTTAAGGTGGTTTTGCGAAGGAGAGAAGAAAGAAGATTTGTTTATTCGCAGCAGGACTTAAGCAGATAAAACAATCCGAATCAGACCATTTTTGGCGCATGCTAGCAAATCCCGGTTGTCTCTCTGAGATGGATGTGTCCCGCCCCCGGTCCAGAACCATGGGACTAATTGAACTACGCATTTTACTCCAGAGCTCCTCATGGGAGTGTGTGACTATTCATTTGGATACTTTAATTTTTTTCCAGAAATGTGGAGGGGGGAATTTATCGACGCTCTTCTAATGAGTGAGTAGCTGATGCCAGTCCTTTTTCCATAATATCTCCATGGCAACGGTGGTATTCGATATCCCTTCAAAAGGTGCTTAACCTATTGACCCCTGCATGCTGTGCTGAATTCACAGCTGGTTCCCTACAACAAGACGTTCAACCAGGAAACTTGAGCTAGAGTCCCGTGACTAAAAAGAGAATTCTGAGTTTGAGCATTTTATTTTATGTGCTGATTTGATTATTAGTTTTATGACTATGAGGTCATTTAAATATTTCATGAAGTTCTCTAAACTATGCTGTTTGTTGATTTAAAACTGTTAATCCCTTTATTTTAATTGCGGTAACTGCTATACATATAACAGAGACTGTAGCGTGTCGGAAGCTCAAGTCACAATCTAGGTTGATCTGAGGTAATAACCTGGGAGCCTTTATCGTAGTTTACATGTACATTAGGTTAGTTTTGCATCCTTGATCCACACTTGGCCCAAGTCTGCATCGATGCAAACTAGGACCAAGGTCGTTACCCATAATCCATTGCTGAGTGGGAATTTTGAAAAGAAGGCAGAACAATGGCTCAAGTGTCTTTTCTGAAAGTATGTATTTTCAAACGAAAGTTCATTTTAAGATGATGAATGTAACTTTTGTCAATTGTGTTTTTGAAAATTGTTAATAAAGATTTTTTTATTTAAAAGTACAATGAACAGCGACCGGGATCCTGGCTTGTGTCATGGTCGATGATGCAACGGTCACTGTCCCAATTCGGCTATTATTTGCACACTTTGTGTACGACACGCTTGAAACCTTACTGCACACTTCCTCCAAGTGCACTTCACAGGATACCGTAGGGTGCATTGCGAGTATTGGGATTAGGCCTAAATTGACCAAACTCTTCTTGGTCAGAATCAATAAGAGTGCTTCCTTGTGGCCAAAGAGTAGCATTGTGGGTGGTGGTCAAAATATGGGACAAACCAATTTATCCTAAAATATGACTCCTGTCCACAAAAACTGGTTTGTGGGCAACCCAAAGGAATTTGAAAATAAAAAATGATGCTGGCATGGTAATCACTACTACTACTACTACTGTCTATGGTACGGCTGCAACAACGAATCGATAAAAACGATAAAAATCGATGAAGAAATGCGTTTCAAGCTATGCATTTTGTCATCGATTTGTTGTGTTGTGCAACTTTTTTTTCGTATTCAACCTTTATTTAACAGTAAATGCGCGCAGCTCATGTGTAGGAGGCAACAAAGCAGACCTAGGCAGATCTGAACGAGAGAGAAAGCCGGTGTTTTGATGAGGAACGACACACTTGGAACAGTAAGTTGCTTACTGATGCACAATGAGCTAATCTAGGGGCTGTGGAGGAAAACAGAAACCAGCAAAGACACAAAGGCAGAAATGGTTTGGGATTAATAGTGCAACTACGGGCAGATTAGCTAATGCTAGCGGGTAGCAGGCTCACAATCAAGTGGGGTTCCGAAAATATACGATGATTGTGAAACTAAGAACATCTAAACTGTACTAGTGGAAGAAAAGTTCTCACCATTCTGTTCATTTTTAGCTGTCTGCAGCGCTATGGAGCAGAACCACTGCTGTCAAGTTCAAGTCTGCTATGCTAAACACCACTGCAGGATTATGCCAAGCCAACGTAACATGTAATTCACAAACGCGTCTATCTGTGAACATGATTTAAACGGGATTATTGACAACCGTACATATTAAATATGTTTCCTTTACATTTTTAGGAGTAGAAATTAAATACAGTAATCCCTCGTTTATCGCGGTAGATGCGTTCCAGACCTGGCCGCGATAGGTGAAAATCCGCGAAGTAGGGACTCCCCGCATGCCCCTCGCGGGGATTCCCTCCACGTCGCACCTACGTCACAAACCGCGGCTATAAATGGAAGTCGCCTTTCCAGCTCACCACTCAGTCATCGTTTCTTCAGATTCATGATCAGAGTTTCCAACCTACCGATCAATCCAACGAACTATCAGCTCATAGTACTTACTTCTGGAAAGCCCGGCATTTCCGTGTCACTTCGTTGACGCTCGAACGCTCGGGGGTTTCCTAGATCAGCCGGCGTTTCACCGACGCTATCACTTCCGCGTCTGTGAAAACACGCTCCCTATTGAATTATCGTATGATCACATTCTCTTTTTGTGGGTAAAACTCAAGAAAAAAATTTTTTTTACTTGGTTTTTTTTTTAGTTTTATTACAAAAAGTGCATTTTATGATGAAATTGATGAAAAAAACAAGAATTTCTTGATATTTCGCATAGAAAAATACCGCGAATCAATTTTAAATCATGAACAGTATGGCTTTAGGACCAAACATTCAACAGCAATGGCAGTTATGGATTTAGTAGATAAAATTTCATCAGCAATTGACAATAAAAACCATTTCATTAGTGTTTTTATTGACTTAAAAAAGGCATTTGATGTCATTGATCATTCAAGGTTACTTCTTAAATTACACCGTTATGGAATAAGAGGGGTGGCGCATCAATGGGTTAATAGTTATTTACGCAATAGAAAACAGTTTGTTCAAATAAATAATGCTAAATCTGAATTAAAAGATATTTATTATGGTGTACCACAAGGGTCAGTCCTCGGACCTAAACTGTTCATATTGTTTATTAATGACCTGGTAAATGTGTCGAATTTACTTGGCACAGTTTTATTTGCGGATGATACTACATTGTTTTATTCAGGATTAAATATACATGAAGTAACTCAAGTGATAAACAGTGAATTGATTAAAGTTAAAAAATGGTTTGATATAAATAGACTGTCACTGAACCTGAACAAAACAAACTATATACTGTTTAATAACAAAAGAAGCTGTGATGTATCTTTAATGATAGATGGAATGGAAATTCAAAGGGTAAAAGAAACCAAATTTCTTGGAGTCATGTTCGATGAGAGTCTCACGTGGAAATCACATGTAGGTTATATAAAGGGGAAAATTGCCAAAGCCATAGGGGTATTATATAGAGTCAAGTTTCTACTAAATTTGTCGGGGTTGTTAACATTGTATCACTCACTGATTGAACCATATTTATTTTATTGTTTAGAAATTTGGGGAGCCACTTGCAAAACTTTTACACAACCATTGATCATTTTGCAAAAAAGAGCATTGAGAATCATTAATAACAGTAACTATAGAGATCACACTAATCAATTATTCATTAGATACAAAATACTGAAATTTCCTGACTTGGTAGAGTGGAAAATATTGCAAATAATGTACAGAGCGAATACAAGTAATCTACCAACTAATATTCAGAAAATGTTTCATAAGAGAGTAAGTGGGTACATGTTAAAAGGAACTGATGTCTTTGAGAAACCTAGATTCAGAACCAAAGTGAGGGAATGTAACATTTCTGTAAATGGTGTAAGATTGTGGAATGCCATTAACAAGGAATTTAAAGAATCAACTACACTTGCAATATTTAAAAAATGTATAAAATCTAATGTATTTAATAATTATGAAAAGAAGAATTATAATGTCAAAGATTAGACGTGAAAATATTATAAAGTGACCGAGGTTATATTGTGTTTGTTTGGCGGATAATTTTATTTCGTAAAAAGGGGCAGAAATCATAAGATTTTTTCTTCTGTCTGCTCCTTTTCATTCAAATGTTTTTTTTTCAATATGTTAATGTATCCTGTATTTGTTTGTGTTTATTTTATACATTGTGAATGAAATAAAAGATAAAAAAAAAAAAAATACCGCGAATCTGCGCATTCCCCCTGAAAAATGCTCCAAAGAAAAAATCCGCGAAGCAGCGAATCCGCGATGAACAAACCGCGAAGTAGCGAGGGATTACTGTATAGCATTTCCAGTAGCTTACTACTGATCAGGTTAATGAAATACATAAAATTTTACTGATCATGGTTTAATCATGGATATAATTCGATGATAGCATGTTGTTTTGCATGCTATTGAACTGTTTTCTAATCATGTTTTGTTGTTAAATAAAATAAAGGAAGGAGAGAAAAAATGTTTCCCTAGCAGTTTTTAATTAAGTAATTTAGTTAATGACATATGTGGGAAATGTGGGGTCTTTTTAATCTCTAAAGCACTTTGAGTTACATTTTAGTATGAAAAGCGCTTTATAAATAAAGTTTGATTTGATTTTGTTTTATTTAAATTTTCCCATTTAATTAATCAGTTAATCAAGTTGAGACCCTATCCAATTCATCGATGATCTTAATAATCGCTTTCTGTGTAGAGTATGCATGTTCTGCCAATGCATCTGTGGGATTTCTCCAGGTATTCCGATTTCCTCCAAATACACCAAAACATTAAAGTTACATAAATGGCTGCTCTAGTGTAACTGAATGTGTGAATTATTCATTTATGTTTGGCCCCATCCGTGGACTGTCACCTTGTGGCTCTTGCGCGATCACTGTTAGGCATTGTTAGTTATTTATTTATGTGTTTTTTTTTATTCAAAAGTTTGGATGCAATCGCTTCACTTACTACGATGGGGAATTAAAACCTCAAAGAGACACCTGGTCATGCTACTCAGGAGTGATGAAGCGGTCCAGCAGCATCTTTGGATTTAAATGAATCATTCTAATGTAATGAAAACACAAAATGCATGAACTGCATTCATAAATCAGAGGTGTACTCCATCATTTAAACAAATTACATTACACTCTGGACCACCGTTGATGGGTCCAACCACAATGACTTAATCAGCAGAGAACATTTGGCTGGAGTCAGCTCCTGTTAGACTAACATGCATGATGAAAAATGACTGAAGAGCCAACCTCTGAATGGTGCCAAGGGATGTTGAGCATTCATTCAAATTTATATTATTTTAACTGCCATGCAAACTCATATGGTGTTATTGTTTTGTGGAGATTCTTCTTATATTTTAAAATGTACTGGTAATTCAGCGTTATTGATATAATTACACTAAACAGGTTGTTTACTTTGACTTGGGGTGAAGGAGAGCTGTGCCCTAAAAGCAAATCATTTACTCCATGTTTACTGAACTACCC